ATGGCAACCTCTCTGCAAGTTGACTCTTCAGCGAAAGCATGCTCTCCAAAAGGCTGCTCTGCAGCCACCCATGAGAAATCACAGAAAATCTAGGCACGCATCGGGTATATAACGCGGAGCATGCAACCAGCCAGGCGGTTTGTTCATGTGAGGTGTGAAACGAGGGGTGTGTAACGAGCAAGCGGGTCTTGTTACAGAGGTCTGTGACGAGGTTTGTAACGAATGTCCGCCGCGCCTCTGTTACAGACCCCTCAACAAGGTTCACTGCCATTATATATATATATATATGTGTGTACATACGCACACTAATCTGCAGACATCTGCAAGGTCGACAATGCAGACGCAGTGATTTAGCATCTGGAGACCTAGCCTGCAGAAGGCCAAAGGACATTACCGTCCACGTGGCCCTATTTCACCAAACCAACGGACGCCCTTGTCAGAGTCTTTCCACCTGCCCAACGTGTCTGAAACATTAATTGGTCATAAAGCATCAAGGACATGTACGGCTGCAAGGAATATTATGCCAGAAACCATGAAGAATCGTTAGGACAGCATACCTTGTCACAAAATGTGTAGCATCGACGGTCTTTGGAAAGTTTTGGCTATTGGGACAGCTGCGTCCCCTGTCCTGCCAAGAAGCGTGCAAGGTGAAATCGAAGAGTGCCACAAGCCACAACCAGGCCCAGCATGCACATGCCTGATGCGACCGGCGCACACACCCCTGTATCCAATTCATTTGCACTGGATGTGCAAGAGTCGCAAAACTGACCTGAGGGAATAGAATGCGAGGTTCCCATCATGAGAGCTACTCTCCGTTCCGCAGTCCAATTTTAATATGACGGTCCTAACGTCTCGCGCCTCCGGCAATGTCTCTTGTGCGCCAGGGACTCCCCGAAGAGCGTTCAACTCCTTCAGGCGCAACTAGAACATCCCCAAAGGCATCGAATGCAAATGAAGGGCAGTTCAGCCCCTTGTTCAAATCTCTTTAAACCACGACTACATATTCAACAACGCGAAACACGAGTTCAAGGCCGCTTGATCTGCTTGCCAAGTATTGCAACTAAACCGACCACCAGGCTGCCTCAAAAACAACACAAACCGACAGAATAAACAGGCTTCCTCTCTGCCGTTGCAATATTTGGGGCAACCATCCATCTTTAACCAAACTGTGCAACATATAATCCCCTGATGATTGATACAAAAAACAAAAACTTGTCTTGAAAGAATCACCTCATAGTTAAACAAAAAAAACACTTTGGCGTTCCTTCCGCTAGTTTGCAGGAGATATGCAGCGGTTTACACAGACATGTCAAACACCCAGGGCCAGCCTTGGAGAATCGGCTTGGGTTCTTCCTCCCGAAGAGTGCGAGTTGCAGCCTCTGAACGGGCACCCCGCCTTTCCGGGATCTTGTAAAGTACCCCAACTCGTTTCCCAATTGGGTGGGCTCAAAATTAAAGAGCCAGGGCAAACCGCAGGTTGTTCTTGGCTCCATTTACCAAGGTGCCATTTTAGTACGTATTTTTGAGCCATTGCCAATGGCAGCAAATCGGGGGAAGGTTGCCGTGCAAACCTTTCCGTTCCTGAACCTGTCTCGGCCGCCGCAATTGGCTTCGTCTCCGCGCGATACTGGCGCCAGGTGGTGCGGATGGACCTGCGCTCGGGGAATTTGTTGGATGATGATGTGAAAAACAAAGGCATGTTGCCACTGGCTGTGAATCTGGGGAACACCTTCAAACCTGATTGGTGGTCCTAATTCACATGTTCTGCTTTGACAATGATAGGTGGGAAGGCTACCATATGTGCACTTGTCTCCTTTTCGGGGGGCCTCTTGGCTTGCGACTGCTCAAAAAATGAGAAAGAACGAGCCTTATATAAACCATCTGTGGCTTTCTTTTTTCGGGAATCCCCAGTTCCCTCATTCCCTGTGCCCCTGAGCCCAAAAACAAAAACCAGCTCATTGAAAAAGGTCCTGGCAACCTATCAGGACGAAAACAACTTGTCTGACTAAGGAGGGCATTCCAACCGTACCTGGCCACCTCGAAGCCACGAGGCCAAGTGTTTTCTCTCTGGCTCTGTGTATCCCTCCCTCTCTCTCTCTCTCTCTCTCTCTCTCTCTCTCTCTCTCTCTCTCTCTCTCTCTCTCTCTGTCTCTCTCTTTCATTTCCTTCCAGTCACAAATCGATTTCCGGGATTGAGGAAAACACAATCACCTGCCCCAGAAGTGCCTGTCTCGAAACCAACGCTTTTGGAAGCCAAGCAGCTTTGCCCTGGTCAAAGACACCACGGTCGTTGGCTTAAAGCAAAATGACACAGTGGTCGTCTGACTTTGATAAACCCCTAGAAACTGAAACAAATCCTGAATCACTCTTTCGGGGTGTCTATGATTGAGGGCACCCTTGCTGGGAAAACACACTTTTTTGCAGGGTCATATCCCACAAAGCAAATCCACCAGTTTGCTGGGTTCATTAGCGAGACATCCCCTTCCAATAGTGGTTCAAAGGGAAATATTCCTCAAGTCACTTTGAGAACCCGTCTGAAAATTCACTTAAAGGGATCCAGCGACAATGTCAGAGCGCTCTGTTTTTCCCCTGTGAACATTACCCTAACTATTGAAAAATCCCATTAAAGTAGCCCAACAAGTGATGAGGAAAACCAAAGAGGGACACATGAACATAGGCCCTGTTGAAAAACATCCCCTCAAAGAAAACATATATATATATATATAGATGTGGACGAATATCAATTGGGGACTCTTTGGTGGACATCAGATCATTTACATGGGGATTTATGCTCCCCCTGCACTACGAGGTGGGTCCCTGTTAGAAAACATAGCCATGTAGCAACTCCCGTCTGCCTTGGGTTTCCGCCGGCGAAGCCGAGCGCCGAGAGCCGAGGCGCGTCACAGCCATGAAGCTAAGAATGCCCAGCAGCACCGCCAGGATGGTGCGGTCCGCCGCGGTGTGGTTGATCCTAACCCAAACACGTTGTCTTAAAATCGGGGACCCAGGAGACCTCCCCCCCCCCTAAAAAAAAGAAAGTTGTTGGGTTCCAAGGAAACACTGGAAAAATAGTTGGGTTCCTGTTGGTTTCCCTGTATATAAAAGCGCTCATAGCCTGGATGGTCAAGCTACATAGTAACTAGCTTAGACCCCTTCTTTTTTTGGGAACCATTTCTCTTACGAATATAAACATGGCTGCGATCTCTTGATAACGTCGGACATCCAATTGGAACCACACTGTTTCAACTTGATGCTTCTCTGGTACCCCCAACCCCCGACAAATTAGACTGTGTGAATGGTCAAAGCTCCCCAGTTAGTTTCTCATGCAAACGGTCTTCCCGAAATCAGAGTCCAGGAGCTGAGGGAGTGTGATGTAGGTCTGTAGGTCTGTCTCTAAATGGACGAACACCCTCTTCTCGGAAAACCCCGCCAAAAAAAGCGGCTGCAGATCAACATGGAACAACGATGGGCCGATGGGGTGCTCTGCTCCGTGTGCCGCGCGGATGTACGCGCGCGCCCCCAGGAGCCGTTCTAAAGTTTAATCTGTGGGGCAGTCATGGGCTTCTCTCACCAAAATATGCAAGCCCATGTTTTCTGAAGAATTCAATTCTGTAAAACTGATATCCGCAGGTATTGATGGCACGGGGGTGGAAGTCCCCTATCCATCATCTACCTGTTGGCTTCTAAGGAAGTACCTTAAATTGCAAAACCCTTGTGGTGAGTGTGGAGTCTCTACATGTTCACAGGAAAACCCAAAAGAAGGCAAACAAACTTGACCTGCAAACGGATCCACTTGGGCCCTTGATGCTCCCCAAACATGTCTTGTTGGGGATCTCTCGCATGTCTCCAGGAGTGCCGTCCCGAAGGCGGCCATCGGTTAGAACCACCAGCAAGAGTGTTTCCTTGTTCATGCTGGCAGTCTTTGAAAGAGAACATTGCTTTCTAGGTGATAACAGGAGGGAGAGTAAGCCTCCTTTCGTCAGGCCCGATACAGAAAGCCACCCCTTTGTGGAAACTCCGCCTATTCGGAATGGTGATTGACTGCTGGTTCACAAATGGCTTTCAACATGTCACGAAGCTTTGGCTCATAGCCTAATGAAACCCGCACGTGGCCTTCAAATCAGGACATCCCGAATCCCAAACCATCCGTTTCTGGGGCGTCCCAAGGAGGGAGGGATCGATTGGATGGCGGGAAAACCACACACACACACACACACACACCCACGCACGCACGCACACACGCACGCACGCACGCACGCACGCACGCACGCACGCACGCACGCACGCACGCACGCACGCACGCACGCACGCACACACACTTCCCATCTCGTGTGGTGTGACCCAAATTAGATGGGGATGGGACCCAAACCAATGGGCCCATCCTCGAAACGACCTTCCAGGACCGTTTTGAGCTTCTGCAGCATGAGGGGTGTCCTTCTCTCCTCTCATCCACTCAAAAATATACTCCAAAAACCCAACGGTGGACTTTGTTCCCCCCAAAAATCGACCCCCCCCCGCCCCCGAAGTTACGTCTGCTTTGGCGCACTCCAAAAATGGAGGAGGCGGAAAAAAAAGGCCACCAAATGTTCCGAAGGCGCCACACCCCAAAGAGCGTGCCAACCAGCGCGGCAGGCACCACAATGCGGCAAATTCCTGGAGCCAAATTGCGATGAGACCGACTGACCGATTTCCGTTGGGCCAGCGGGCATTCCAAAAATTTGGGGACCCTTTCTGGCGCTTCCTTTTGGGTCCCGAGAAAAACAGAAATGCCAAAGAGAATCCGAAATCCATTTAAATGCGACACCCAAAGTCCGGACTGGACCGAGAAACACACACAAACTTGGTGTAACAAAAAGATTTCGGGGGAAAACGGAGGTTGTTGAAAATGATAGTGGATTGAACATGTTTGAAGCAGGGGTGCTCCCAAAACTGTGCGCCATTAGCAGAATTTTGATCGGAAAAGACAGCCAAAGGGTCCTGGACTAATTGTCCAGCCTTTCGGTCGTTGTTTTCAGTTCGGATCCTCCCTGCCGCCCGAACGATACTATGGGCATTCAACAAAAGATTGCGTGCATCTCTGGTCCTTGTGATGGCGGCACTCAAAGCTTTCTGATGACCGACAGATCATCCAAAACTAACATGGTTGTTCACAGGAAAGTTGAGGTTAGCAGGTGTTGGGTTTGTTGTGCATGGTTTAAATGGGAAGCCAAAGGAAAGCCTCCAAACCACCAATCCAAACAACCCTTTTTGTGATGGTTTCTATTTTGAGAGACCTCATGGGTAGGGTCCTTTGGACATGCTCAGTCTTCAACTTCAATAGGGCCGAATTATGTGCTATGTGTTGCCTTTGGGAGCATCAACTCAGGGTGCTTTTGCCATTTGTTGGTTGACGCTTGGCATAAAGGAAAGTAGAAAACATAATCACTACAGTCACGTGACAACACGAAGGCAAAAAAAGAAACAAAAGCAAACAACACCGTAGCAACACCTGCCGCAGTGGCTAAAATTGGAGAACAGCTACTGTGGGTGCCGTTGTTCCTCTTTCAAACTCCTGTTTTGTGTTCCAGTGGGTATTTCAACATCCCATCCAAACTTGCCAGGGCTCCGTAGCGTATGCACATCCCAAGTTTAAACAACTTCCCTTTGTGCCCCACAGAGGCTTGCCAGTTTCGAAGGCGTCATATTTTTAAAAACGCTTGCCAAGGCCCCCGGTTGCTTTTTTGACCCCCCGTTTGTTTGTTGTTTGACCCCCCCAATTCTTGAAGAAACAAAAAGAGAGCAACTTGGGGCTCCTTTGACCCAAGGCTCCGTAGTGTATGAGCTTCTTCTTCCTCCGCCGCAGGTTTAGGGCCAACGAGGCTAGCGAGCCGAAGAAGACGATCCCCTTGGACAGCGGCACCGCGTCGTGGAGGCTGAGACCCCCCAGCACCATGAGCAAAGACACGTAGATGCCGCCTGCCCGGTGCGTAGGGTTCGGGATCCCCACCTTTCCCACAAGAAACAAAAACCGTCCAAAGAAAAGAACCTATTTTTACTCGAGACAGAGTTGGAACCCGATGGGTTCCAACTACTCCAAGGGCACGCCCGCTTTTCAGGGCAGTTCCCTTTCCGGCCCTCCCTGGCCAGGTTTTTTGCGCCAGGTCCCAATAACTATAACTGGGTCTGGTTGTTTCTTAGGGCTGGCAACATCCCAAGCATCACCTGGACCAGGGCTGGCGCCGTCCAGGTACTGCAGGTCTGGCTACATGTTTGTCTCTGGTACATAACCTGATTGGGGAATTTCTTGGCCGCATCCCCGGGATCACCAACTTGGAGCTGCGATCAACCCTAAACCAACTCCGAGCAACTAATTGCCATCAGATCGAAGCTAATATGCAGCAGGCAGCTCTAGGTCTAAGTGAGGCTTATGATAAAACCAGACCTTGCTAAAAAAACACAGCAGCGAGGCCAAACAACAAAGCACCTCTCTAAGCCAGCACCCACGAACGACTACCTTGTTCCCGTCCCGCGGTTCGAAAAAACGTGTGGTCCAAAAACGCAGTTATTGGAGGGTGCTGGCAAACGAAACTCAGGTTAAAATTGGCCCAAAGCATGTTTGCAACTTGACAAGAGCTTCACCAGTCTGGGTTGCTCAGGGGTCCAACTGAAAAAAACAACCCCACCCCTGAAAAAAACGGTCCAAGAAAGGAAAGTTGAGTTTGACGTGCGACCAGTGGATCGCGCTTTGTGGAGGAAACATTTTCCGAAAGGCTTGTGTGTGATCCTCAAACGTAGTTGATCTCCTTTGGGGCGCACCCGTTTTGGTGACGACACGTCTACTGCCAACCCAGGTTGAATTTGGCGAATGTCCAGCAAGGGACTGAAAAAGCTAGGCCTGGGTTTGTCTCATGGGAGAACCATCCGAAATGCAGGGGCGTCTGCATGCTGAAACAAACACCGGGAAATTCAGGAGACAGCTTAGGGTTCACAAACCACGCGGACATGTGCACGGAGTTTAACTCCACTATCCTGGGTCCAACTCTTGGCACCCGCCAGGTAACATTCCGTCCATACGTGTGACCTCTGGAGAATTATCGCCGTTCCAAGTCCAAGGGGCGCTAACCATTTCTGAGAACGGTTCAACTCTGTTTCATGTTTGACGACACCCATCGTTCGGCTCAGACCTCCACCGATGCCGGCAGCTGAGCACAGCACCCCGGACAGAAAAAGGAGGGCGCCACAGAGCGCTGGCTGAGGGCCCCAAGCGCGGGACCAGTCCTGAGCAAGAAATTGATCATGATGGAACCCGCAAATCCCATTGAAAACAAGAAATAGATCCATTGAAAACTTGTTTGGGGGGGCGACTTTCTTTGGAGTTGGCACCCTTGGAGGGAGTTTTAGTGGAAAAGCAAAACCACCACTTCCAGGGGTGAACCCGCACCCGAACACCAGGTCAAAGGTCTCAGGGTTTAAGAAAACGCGAATCAACCAAATCACCCTGTCCAGGTTCCTCGTATGTCCCGTTTGCACGGCACCTAAAGGAAATGGGCCAAGTGTTGCTTGAATCAGCCACAAGGGACATTTAAGGACCACTGTTTTTAGAAAATATCAGGGCAACAATTGTTTCTGTCTTTGGCGTTTTCAATTACCCAACAACCCCATTCGAGTAGGCTGCAAAACCAGCCAATGGGAAAAAACAACCATGCAATGTCCCCACTTCACTCGTTCAGATGAACCAAATTCGGGAGCCAAAAGCAAACCGAAAGTAAACCGAAAAGCCATCTGCATCCCTTTTGTTGCGACTGCTAAATCAGTGAGTCACTATGTCATGAGAAAACTTGCGCTAAGCCTTCCACTCTTGACTCAAGGATGGTGAAGACCTTTGCATCTTAGGAGTAATCCGGTCTGATTGCTCACTTCATTCACGGGCGGTGAACCCAACAGCATCCCCATTGAAAAAGGAAACCAATCTGAATTGCCCTTCCGACGTTCCGATCCGAGGAGTCGTTCGCCCAGGCTCAAACGCCCAGAACGGGTAGACGCTTCGGCTGCATCGCCCTCGGCGCAGAGGCCCTGGCCCCAGCCCCGGCAGCCCGGGCAACGGCGGCGGCGGCCGCGGCTGCGAGGCCAAAGCTCTTCGGGGCAGCGAGGGCGCCGCGAAAAGCGCGCCCCAGCTCAGAAGACCCGAGGCCGCGAGGATTCTCCGCATGGGCAAAGATTGGCTGAGATTGACCAGAAATTGACAGATCGACCAGACAGCCAATCTTTTCCCAATCTGTTAAAGATTAGCAATTGACAAGAAATCTTTCGAAACAATCTGGCTCTCATCTGCATTCTGGCATTGCGAGCCAATGGAAGCTCCACGCTACGCATCACAATTAGTTGTCCCATTCCCAACAAATGCGCCAAGCTTTGCCAATGCCACATGATAGGCATGCCACATGATAGGCATGCCCGGCACACCTCTTTTGCGCAGCCTCGGTCTGAGCCTCTCTGGTTCTTCGCAACGTCCGGAAAAAAGCCTCTGCTAAAACGTATCGTCGTCGTCGATGATGTCGGACACCCGTGGCTGCGATGGCTTGTCCTATGCGTTGAACTATAGGAACACTGCGCGCCCGACACTCCGACACGCCGCGCGCCTTGAGAAAGTCGAGCGGAGAAACCTCCGTCTCGAGTCCGGCATCCAAGATTCTGCCCACCATCGCTTGCCTGAGACTTCCGCAAAGCTTCATGGGTCTCTGAGGACGGAAGCTTCATTTCGCTATAGGGTTGACTCCCATCCGTTTCCCCTCGGTTTGTGGATTTTAAGAAGGATTCCTGAGAACAATGGCTGGAAGTTGCCCCTCGATTAGCACTGGCTATGCTCTGAGCAATACTTGTACCTTGGGCAATACCTCTTCATCGGAGCGAAGCTTCGCACGTCAGGCAATGCGCATTTACGCAAGTGCTGACAGGTGTTGTGCTGATTCACGCTTCCAAGCCATACTCAAGAAGCCAGTTCAAGAGATTGCAAGGTGCATTGACTCATCCTTCTCACGGACAGTCTGACCGCCCCAAAAGACCGAACATGTAGTAGGCCTAGAGCGATAACATGAACACTGTGCCGTGACCCAAAACCCTTGAATGCAAAAGAAGTGCAGATTTCTTAGGCCCCCTAATCAATACCCCTTGTGCCTGTCAGATCGCAACCAAGATGCTTCGCTTCCTGTGATTTCTTGAAGAAGGCCGCAGCGGTTTCCTGCAGGCATGCGGGACTTCCGAAATATACTGTGCTCGAACCAACTCGCAAAGACTCCTTTTCAGCATTCCAAAAGATGAATAATGACGACCATCCAAAGTTCTCCATCCTGCCCCAGAACTCAGCTAGTCCAGGCCTCGGCCTCTGCAAAGACCTGAAACTCGGCGAAATGGTTCTCCCAATTGAAAGGTTGGTTGCCGTAAGGATTCCAAAGGTTGGTGCCTTTCAAGTTCCTTTAAGGTCGGTTCACTTAAGGTTGGTTCGGAAACCAAAGGGAGGGTGTCCGATGTGTGTTTATTCATATGGTTTCATGTTTTTCAGTTTGTTTGTTTTTTTTGGGGAAGGGGGGATTGGTGTCCCTAAAGGAAACTGGATGGCACTGGCAAATGATTGTATCCAAACCGAAGCCACTGCCATCTATTTTTCAAGCAAACTGGCCGAGAAAGCATCGCTTCAAAGTCGTGTCCGGTGCAACTCACCTCAATAACACCTGGAATAAAAGAAAAACAAGCTGAAACCACAATGGGATCCATGAGCTGAATTATGGACGATGCTTATGCTTCCAAATCTCGCAGAGTGCCAGCGACCGAGGCTCAAACCTTCGACTTGTTGAGGAGGAGTGCTCCAGGCTTCCTCTCCAAGGGGCGAATTCCCCACCTGGCACCGGGGCAAAGTGGTGCTTCGACCCCCAAAAACGCGGTTAAAGCGGCGAGACATCGGCTTCTGCCAGAGAATCTTTGCAAGGAACCATGCGATGCCTTCACATCCTGAAATGCTTAGACCTGCTCTCATGCCTTCGAAGTCAGGCTGCTGAAATTGATTCTGTAGTCCACATTCGAAGATTGACGTTGGAAAGTGGGCGGCTTCAACTAACGAGCAAACAAGTTCCCTGCAGCCAAACCCACTTTATCGGAGTCTCAGCGCATTCGGAAGCCATGGACGCTGGAGCGTTGAGGTAGCAGAGAGACTTGAGCATGGCTGTGCCTAAAATATGTTCTCTCTCTTTGAGGGTTGCTTTCCGGCCACCCTCAAAAAGGGGCTCCCGATTTTGTGACATCCCAGGCTTCCTCAAGCCGGAATCAGCCCAAAGCGGCTCTGGCCATCGCTAGCCACGCCTACCTGGGAGCCATGAACAATTCCCTTGGACATCGTCAATAGCACTACCTGGATTCAGGGGGCTATCAGTCCAAGCTTGAGATAGGAAAACGACGCGCCAAAAGGTACGAAAGAGAGCGCAACTGCACCATTTTTTCGGGGGGGGGGGGGGGGCGGGGGGGCTCAAACGGGTTGGAGATGGGCCAAGGAACCTCCGAGCATGTGATCAAGTCGTGCGCTTGCAGGTGCCACTTTTTATTGATGCTCCTTTTATGCGAGGGAGCCCAAAAGACATCAAGCATGGCGGAGGTTCGCCTGCTTTGGGATAAACATGATGAACCCATGTTAAAACCTACAAGAAACCTATTCTCTTCCTGGAAGGTCGGGAAGGTGGGGCAAAGGGGTCTTTCGGACACGTATCCGCTAATGGCTTGAGCCACATAGCCTCTCTGGATGCATTCGAGAGGCCCGCAACCAAGCTTTTTCCACGCTGTAGGGGCTACTCAGGGGCCACAATGGCCCTTCTAAGAACCCTAAGAAGATTCTATAATTGAGCGCCCTTTTAGCTGTTTGCCCAAACTGACACCTGCCCCGGCGCCTGATCACACCGGCACCCTCTTCAGAGTCAAGGCAGTAGACCTCAGGAAGCCAAGATCTAGTGTTAAAGCCTCTGCAGTCACGGAACAGGAAATGGGTCTTCCTTGTCGGTAGCCTATGTGGCTTTGGGAAAATGGTGCTGTTGACCTCTCTGCAAAAAGTTGTGTTCACTGTTGGCAGGTCCAATGGAAAACTCCACCTGTTTCCCAAAAGGTTCAAGTCCAAAGATCCAAATAGCCGGAAAGACATCACCTGTCAAACGAAAACACGTTCCTTCTCCCCCCAGCTCTTTCAGCTGTGAGGCCTTTGCCCAAGGGTTTTGGGGGCTGTTGGGGATACCTCCTGGGTTGATGTCCTTTTCCCGCAGAAGAACACAAGCTCTCATGTATCAGCCTACGAGTTTCTACGCTCCCATTTGATCTGCAAATGTTATTATAATTCCAAAAGATGAATTAAGGGCTTCCCAAGCAAAGAACCTTTATCATGGTGAGCTCGTTATACCCCAGGTGAGCTCGCTATAAAATAGGCAGATTTGATTGCTGTGTTGAGTTTCCACCCTTCTGATCGAAATCGTGATTGAACCTGCAGTCTTGTTCGCATCCTCTGCAAGTACATTCTGTGGGAGTCACAACTTTGCTACCGACCACATGTCGGCACAGCTGGACCGGGTGGAACTGTCACCGTCCGAGGATAACTAACAGTAGGCAACCCATGCTGACAAACCCCACAGGCAATTGCTCCCTGGGCACCAATCGCTAGCACAAGATATGTTTAGGACAAGATTATCTTGGTTCAAGAAGTCCGCCGTACAGGATATGCCTAGCAACCCTGATGCTCAAGCATAAAGTTCGAGGCTGCGCAGTTCATACTTCAAATAGTTCTGAGGGCTGGTCCTTGATCATCTCTTCTGTCGTGAAGAGGTCCATGACTTCGAATTGAGTCTTTGCACCAGTTATGTCCACCTGGCTGATCGGGAAATGGCTGGCTGTGAGAAGATGCTCTTGACAGAGTTTTCTAGATATCCCCTTAAGGATCACCGCAAGGCAAGCTCACCTTAAATGGACCAAGAAGATCCAAGAAGGTGATACTAAAAACCACCAAAACGAAGAATATGGGGACACCTGCTCCGCATTATGGACATTGCGCGTTCTACCACATATCTGACCCCGCATGCACGAATTCCAACTTGTGAGTGTCCAAGCTTCAAGAACATCAGGTTGCAATAGCTCTGAGTCACAAAGTCACAGTCTTCTACTCCTCTAGACGCAAACTCGACTCGCACATCGGCATGCACATCAAAGGCGCTGATGGCGCAGCATGAACCTCGAGCCACAAAAAGACACGCTCCTTACGGCCGTGTATTGCCCTGTGCGAATGGCTGAAACCGTCTGAAACTCCGTGATTCCGCGAATCAGCACAAGGGAATCCATTTCAAGGGGTTTGGCAACCGTCTCCGATTCCGCGAAGCTGCTGGGAATCCTGAAAAAGTTTCGTTTGGCAACTGAACTCACCAGAGTCCAGCGGGGAATCATTGCCCTTTCGCCTTTGGGAGGCCAAAGGCCACCCCGTCGATTTCAATGTCCACGGTGGCCTGCCAGCCATCGATGCGTATATATATATATATATACCTACGAAGCCCATGCAAAAAAAACCACACAAAAAACACCTTCGAGCACAACACGGAACATGTGGGTCGTTGTTCAGAAAAAGATCGTTGTTTGGAAAGATGGTCGCTTTTGTGGAAAGGTAGCCTGGCTCATCAAAGATTTCCGGACTGTTCCGCCCTTTTCCGTCTGTGTCCACCTTTGTTCCGCGTTTTTCCGCCTTTGTTTGGCCGTCCCAGACCCAGTCTACCACGAAACTCACGGAAAAGGTCGAAATTTGGAAAAAATGCTGTATCACCAAAAAAAAACGGTGTTTCTCGAAAAGACTGAAAAGCGACACACAAACGGTTTCACAGGTGTGTGTGTGTATATATATGTATATGCATATACATGCATACGTACATGTGTATATATATATATATATATTCTAGTACCCCCCCCCCCCCACGCCCAGTGCCCCATTTCTCAAAATTTAGCAAGTGTGTGTTTGTTCGGGAGGCTTTTGCATCTCTTACTGGTCTTAAGATTTCTTAGCACTGTTATTTAGATTCGGCTACAAGAGCCAAGATCCAAGATCGCTGACATATTGAATCCATGAATGCCCCCTGCCCCAAGACCTTAAGACCCCTCTCTCTCTCTCTCTCTCTCGAAACGCTGCTCCCAGAAAGCTGAGCGTTGCCCAGCAATGTCTCGCGCCTACAAGCGACTGGAGAAATGCTCCCAGGTCTTTGACCATGTCAAGCTTTGAACATCTTTTGCCGGTGCCTCCAATTTTCAGGTTGTATAAGGCATCCGCCTGGTTGTCCATTGCGGCTAGTCAAAGAGGTTATTCGGTGAGGTATTCGGTGACCAGGACTGCTGGCGGACTTTTGAGGAAAAAATGGATCCATGAACGCCCCTCTGAAGCCTCAATACCGGTACTAATAGATCCAAATACTGCTGTGTAGATTTCGATTTACCCGGTATTAAGGAGTCTGGACCCAAGACCCAAGATCCAAGATTGCTGGGGGATCGACGAATCTCCCCCCCAAACCTTATTACCGGTATTTAGATTGCTTGCTACTGGTATATTAGACTTCTTTGCACCCGGTATTAAGGAATCTGGATCCAAGATCGAAGATCTAAGATTGCCGGGGGCCTTGTGAGGGAAATCTTGCATCCATGAATGCCCCCCTGAAACCTTAACACCGGTATTAAGATATCGTGCTAAGAAATCTTTATTCCGGTATTAAGCAATCTGGAAAACAATACTAAGACATGTTAATACCGGTTTTATGGTTCGGTGGGGGGCATTCATGAATTCAAGATTTCCCTCAAAAGTTCCCACCAATCTTGGATCTTGGATCGTGTATCCAAATTTCTGAGTACCGAGTATGAAGAAGTTTGATACAGGTATTAAGACATCTAAATACCGGTATTTAGATTTCGGGGGGGGGTGTCGCCCAAAACTCTTCCAGCAATCTTGGGTCTTGGATCCAGGGTCTAAATGCTGGTATATGGGAATTGAAATACTGATATTGCTAAATCTAAATAACGGTATTCATACATTCATTCATGAATAGAAGGTGTCCCCCAAAAGTCCTGCAGAAATCCTGCATGTCCGCCGACAACACACGGCGTGTTGGACACAAAAAGTTACCCCTCCCCTAACCCCTCCCCAGGGGCACCATTTCAGACTATTGCGGGGGGGGGGGGTCCACGTACCACGCGGTGATTCGAAGACGCTTCACTAAATCTGTTCATTGTGCGGGCTTGCGCAACTCAGTTTGTCAAAAACATTGGGGTGTTCGATTCCCCCCGGGTGCGCTTTCGCATCCTTAGCAGCTCCAGTGGCACATCGCCAGCATCACCTGCATCATCCGCATCAGCGCCTGCCAAGGATGCGGATGATGCAAGTGATGCTGGGGATGTTGCCCATGCTGGTGAAGGAAATGAAGGGGGGAAAGGGGGAAAGGATCTCAACAGCGAAAGGGGGGGAAAGATCTCAGGGAGGAAAGGGAGAAGATCTGGGGAAAAAATGCCTTAAGGGGGAAAGCGTGGAAAAGATCTTTGGGAGGAAAAGGGAAATCTTTCTCGGGGCGAACAGGCCCTACGGGGCAATGGGGGGACAGGATCTCGGGGGAAAAAGACTTTGGGAAGAGAAGGGTGGAGATCTTGGGGGGAAAAGGCTTTAGGGGGGAGATCTTGGGGGGAAAAGGCCTTAGGGGGGAAAGGGGGGGAAAGGATCTCAACAAGGAAAGTGGGGAGAAAAAATGCCTTAGGGGGGAAAGGGGGGAAAGGCTCTCAACAGGGAAAGGTGGCAAAAGATCTTAGGGGAGGAAAAGGGAGAAGATCTCAAGGGAAAAGGACTTAGGGAGGAAAGAGGAGGAAAGATCTTTGGGAGGAAAAGGCAGAAGAACTGAAGGTGGGAAAAGGCCTTAGAAGGAAAAGGGGGGGAAATAAATGATCTCAACAGGGAACGGGGGGGGGGGGGGAAAGATCTTGGGGAGGAACGGCAAAAGATCTGGGGCAAAAAGGCCTTAGCAGGGAAAGAGGAGAAATGATCTCAACAGGGAAAGGGGTGGAAAAGATCTTAGGGAGGAAAGGGAGAAGATCTGAGGAAAAAAGGCCAACAGGGAAAGGGGGGAAAAGATCTTAGGAAGGAAAAGGGAGAAGCTCTCAGGGGGGGAAAGGCCTTGGGAGGGAAATGGGAAAAAAGATCTCAACAGGGAAAGGGTGGGAAAGATCTTAGGGAGGAAAGGGGGGGGAAGATCTTAGGGAGGAAAGGGGGAAGATCTGGGAGAAAAGGACTTAGGGGGGAAAGCCCAACAGGGAAAGGGGGGAAAAGATCTTAGGAAGGAAAAGGGAGAAGCTCTCAGGGGGGGGAAAGGCCTTAGGGGGGGAAAGGGGGAAAAGGGTCTCAGCAGGGAAGAAAGATCTTAGGGAGGAAAGGGAGAAGATCTGGGGACAAAGGCCTTAGGGGGGAAAGGGGAGAAATGATCTCAACAGGGAAAGGGGTGGAAAAGATCTTAGGGAGGAAAGGGAGAAGATCTGCGGGAAAAACGGCCAACAGGGAAAGGGGGGAAAGATCTAAGGAAGGAAAAGGGAGAAGCTCTCAGGGGGGGAAAGGCCTTAGGCGGGAAAGGGTGGGAAGGATCTCAACAGGAAGATCTCAGCGGGGGGAAAGGCCTTAGGAAGGAAAGGAGGGAAAGGATCTCAACGGGGAAAGATCTCAGTGAGGAAAGGGAAAAGCTCCCAGGCGGGGAAAAGGCCTTAGGGGGGAAAGGGGGAAAGGATCTCAACAGCAAAGGATCTTAGGGAGGAAAAGGGAGAAGATCTGAAAAGGCCTTTGGGGGAAGAGGGGGAAAGGAGCTCAACAGGGAAAGGTGGGAGAAGATCCTAGGGAGGAAAAGGGAGAAGATCTTGAGGGAAAGGGGGAAAGGATCTCAACCAAGGGAAAAGATCTTGGGGAGGACAAGGGAGAAGATCTCAGGGGGGGGAAGGCCTTAGAGGGGAAAGAGGGGAAAGATTCAACAGCGAAAGGGGGCAAAGGCTCTTAGGGAGGAAAAGGGAGAAGATCTTGGGGGGGAAAACGCCTTAGGGGGGAAAGGGCGGGAAAGGATCTCAACAAGGAAAGGGGGAAAAAGATCTTAGGAAGGACAAGGGGGAAGATCGCGGGGGGAAAAAAGGCCTTAGGGGGGAAAGGAGGGAAAGGATCTCAACAGGGAGAGGGGGGAAAACATCGTAGGGAGGAAAAGGGAAAAACTCGGAGGGAGAAAGGGCCTTAGGGGGGAAAGGGGGAATGGGATCTCAACAGGGAAAGGTGGCAAAAGATCTTAGGGAGGAAAAGAAGAAGATCTGGGCGAAAAGGACTTAGGGGGGAAAGCCCAACAGGGAAAGGTGGGAAAAGATCTTAGGAAGGAACAGGGAGAAGCTCTCAGGTGGGGAAAGGCCTTGGGAGGGAAAGGGGGGAAAGGATCTCAACAGGGATAGGGTGAGAAAGATCTTAGGGAGGAAAGGGGGGGAAGATCTTAGGGAGAGGGAGAAGATCTGGGAGAAAAGGACTTAGGGAAGAAAGCCCAAAGGAGCTCAACAGGGAAAGGTGTCCTAGGGAGGAAAAGGGAGAAGATCTTGGGGGGAAAGGGGGAAAGGATCCCAAGCAAGGGAAAAGATCTTGGGGAGGACAAGGGAGAAGATCTCAGGCGGGAAAGGCCTTAGGGGGGAAAGGGGGGAAAGGATCTCAACAGGGAAAGGGGGCAAAGGATCTTATGAGGGAAAAGGGAGAAGATCTCAGGGGGGGAAAGGCCTTAGGGGGGGAAAGGGGGGAAAGGATCTCAACAAGGAAAGGGGGGAAAAGATCTTAGGAAGGACAAGGGGGAAGATCGCGGGGGGAAAAACGGCCTTAGGGGGGAAAGGAGGGAAAGGATCTCAACAGGGAGAGGGTGGAAAATATCGTAGGGAGGAAAAGGGAAAAACTCGGAGGGAGAAAGGGCCTTAGGGGGGGAAAGGGGGAAGATCTCAGGGGGGGAAAGGCCTAGGGGGGAAAGGGGGGAAAGGATCTGAGCAGGATCTTAAGGAGGAAAGGGAGAAGATCTGGGGACAAAGGCCTTAGGGGGGAAAGGGGAGAAATGATCTCAACAGGGAAAGGGGTGGAAAAGATCTTAGGGAAAGGGAGAAGATCTGCGGGAAAAAAGGCCAACAGGGAAAGGGGGGAAAGATCTAAGGAAGGAAAAGGGAGAAGCTCTCAGGGGGGGAAAGGCCTGAGGCGGGAAAAAGTGGGAAGGATCTCAACAGGGAAAGGGGGGAAACAATCTTAGGAAGGAAAAGGGAGAAGATCTGGAAAGGCCTTAAAGGGAAGGGGAAAGGATCTCAACAGGGAAAGGGGGCAGAGGATCTTAAGGAGGAATAGGGAGAAGATCTCAGCGGGGGGAAAGGCCGTAGGGGGGAAAGGGGGGAAAGGATTCCAACAGGGAAAGGGGGGGAAAGATCTCAGGGAGGAAAGGGAAAA